TTTTAAAATAAATAGAAAATATTGTTTGGTCTTTATGTTAATGTCTGCAAGTACCTATTTTTCTTTTTTTTTTTATACAAATTGTACAATTATACATGAATTAAACTGGTTTGATTGCAAGTATTGCTTGCATTTTAATCTCAGCTAGGTGCTGGTGCAGCAATATCCTTAGGGACAAGCTTCTGCTCACCTAGAGATGGTATGAACATAAAACAGCTGAGCATGTAGGATAACCTCTTCCTTCATCCATGGAGAGATTTGGGTTCATCAAGCTCTCCATCTGGCCAGAGGATGGCTTCAGCCAGACAGCAGAAGAAGGAATAATCCCCCTCCAGAATAAGGAGGAACAAAACCCAGCCTGGAAGAGTCTGGCTTCCAGTTTGAGTTAAGCTAGAGCTGCTCTGCTCATTCACCAGCTGGAACTTCTCTCACTAAAACAGGGCTTCACCATTTCCTCTAGACCCACACGAGGTCTCCCCGTGGACTGAATCAAGCTGCCTACTTCTCCAACCATAATCAGATCATTATAAAAGGGAAAATAAAACTCTTGCTGTCTTCATTTCTACCATGGGCTGCCTCAAAAATTCACCCCCCCGAGCTCGGTCTGTGGTGCAAAGCCACCATTTCATGGCATTTCAGTTTTAATAACAAGTTACCCAAACTTTTTATTGCCAGAAATCTTTGCACCTGCCTTCTGTTTGCTGCACTGTCAGAGGGAAAGAATAGTGGAGGCTCAGCAGTGTTAAGAAAAATTCCCCATCTGTTTACAAGCAGATGTAGCTGTCATATGCTGTTCTAGAAATAAGAAAATGCTTTCTCTGCTTCCAAACACAACCAAACTTGCCATCTGACCTCAAGCTGGGACAGGGCTTTCGTTCAGGTACCTGCAGAGACTGGGAGTTTGTGATGACTTAGGTATTATGAAGATAGAAAGGTGTGAAAAAAAAAAAATGCCCTTCCCTTGCCAAGATTTTGCTGGGTAAAAAAGACCATGCCCTAAGTTGTTTTTTTTGAAAAGGACTCTTTAATTATAGCTGTCACTAGGATGGAGTTTGGTTGGTGCTTACCTGGGGTGCCTGCAAGCACAGGGGAGGAGTCCACGTGGGTGGAAAACAACGTCCCAGGCACGTCCAGTTTAAAAGGTGACACTCCAGTGAAGACCTGCAGTTAAACTGTGTTTAACTGGTGCACTTGGAGTTTGGGGAAACCCTCTGCCAGCAGCTCAGCAGCTCTTCTCTTCCAATTGCAAACCAGGTAAGAATGGTGAAAAGCAATAAGAGAACAAGGCACAGAGCACTGAGAAAGCCAAATTTCTCCCTGAGTCTTTTCTCTGACAAGTCCAGAGGCTCAGGCAGCAAAAGCTGCAAGTAGTGTGGTGGGAACACTTTTCTTTTCATTGCAGGGCAAATAAATCAGCCAGTGAGATTGTTCTTTGGCTCCTGGTGAGAGCCTGGGCATCAGAAGGAAACCTGCCACGAAGATCAGCTGGGACCATGATCAACAACATTCAGCAGCCTAAAAATCCCCCCCCAGCAAAGTGAAAATGCTGCCTGGCCAAGGCAGAGAGCTGGGCCCTGGCCAGG